AAATAAAAAACCAAGATAAAAAACAATGAATGTACATGGCTTTTACAACACGACGGAAAGTCTGTGAACTTACCTTTAGGTCTTCCCTGCTTGGTCCGAACTGGCTCCTCCGTTACGGCGCCCGTGTCCACCACAGTTGCACCCCCGGGAACTGTATCCATCGTATGGCCGCGAACTCCGGCAGATCTGAAAGCAAAAAACAAGTTTCTTGGTTAGTTATATAAATAAATGTCAACGTATTAAGAAGATGAAGACTGAGGATTTCTCGTGAAAGCTGATAAAAATAAGATGGTAGTCACTACTAATATTCCACGAAGTTGTCATTATTCGAAACGTCACGAGCACGATGGTCGCACGTGTTTAATAATCTAACGCGTCTCAAGTATGTTCTGATCGACTCAGAAAAGTCGGGAATAAAGCGTGACGTCTCCCGATGTGCTCAACTTCGCGTGAAGGACTGTTATGATTGCACGGCAATTTTGTACACGCATATATGTTGCCAGTCCCGAGAGTCACGCGACTTTCAGTCGGCGAGACACACCCGAAAACACCGCTCTGTTATTACGTCTATAACGTAATATTAAAATTATATATTATTTGATAGAATTTAATTCCCTCTTGACATTTAAATCATCAAAATGCACGATGTCCGCGATAATAGCTCGAGGTAATGAAAAGTAAACGGCTTACATTGAGATAATTAATGAAAATCGTGAAAAAAAGACAATAATGAATTTACCTGTTTTTCTTTTTTTTAGATAAGAATAAAACGATAAAATTTGATACCTCGGGTATCACTCCGATACTTTGGAATTTCGACTCCACATGTCTTCTCTTATTAGATATGATTGTGTATTTCTCCATTATTCCACACGATGGTGCTAAATTGAGATGCAAGTCATAGAGAGAAAGAGAGAGAGAGAGAACGCTTCTTTTATTCTACACCAGGCGAAGCAACAAGCTCGGGATTATTCCATATGGCATAATTCTTCCTCCTCCCTCCCCTCTCTCTCTCTCTCTCTCTTGCTGCTTTCGTAATTATACGTAATCACTTTTGCACGTCTCGAGGATCTACAGCGTGGCTAGTTTCCATCCTGCCTTTCGTTGCTAACGAATGTAACGGCCTCGGTGGAGCGAAACTCACCCTCGAACGCGCAATTCCGGTTGATATGCAGCATATGCATGCTACGAAATGCACCGCAACGTATATCCGCCGCGTGGTCTCTTGCTCTTGTAATTGAAGCGTCCTAGAATCGACGCGCTAGGTGTATCTCGAAATGGCCGAGGGTATCGGCTCATAGAAATGCCTCGTAGTAGCTAATAAACTCGACGAGATGGAACGAGATTAAAACGGCTGCGTCCGTCGCTCGATATCGCTCTCATTCACTTCGGGATAATTTTGCGAGCGTTTTGTACAGGCGCGTCGGCGTTTGTTTGGAAATCAAGTTTCTGTAACGACAACGTTAATGGTTAAACATGAAACACGTGAACGACGCAGTTCGAAAGCGCGAATTTCAATTCCATCGCTTACGAAGTGAAATATATTTTCATTTGATACGCCGTTCCCCCGATACAACATACGATTTGTATTCCGCACAATCAATTAATACCCAGAAGGCGATTCCGATTATTCGGAAAGCGGTACATTTCGGGGACGCGAATCAAATTAGTACAGTTTTGAGGGGAACGCGGTGATTGCTCGTTTTGCGACCCGCGTCGTCGCGGAATGGAAATTATGACACGTTGGACGATCGTGTGTAATTTATTCGCGGGCATAAATAAGCGCGGTTCATATTTTTAGCCGCAAAACTGCAAACGCATCCGCGTGTCTCGATGGGAATTTCTACCGGGGTAGATCGCGACGACTTCTATGAATCAGCTGTTGTGTGTGATTGAAACGGTACGTGAGTAAAAAAGAAGATACACCCGCATTCCGCAACTCGTCGCTAAACCTCGTAAATTACACGATAAAAATGAAATTTGATAAATTAACCGGAAAGAAGCCGAACGACCCCGACGCTCTTAAAAATATATTGCCCATTTAGTGCCGTATTTTCAGTGGCGCGTCAAGAGGACCACTCATAAATTTCGTATTTATCCAGCAAAATTATGGTCCTATACTTATTTCCTAAATTTATTTCACTAATTAATAAATATTATATAATTAATAAATAAAAAAAAGACAAATATTTAAATATGTGTATATGTAAATATATTTCAGATATTACTATGAGTTATAAACTTTACGCAGTCATATTTTCAAAACAAAATAGTCAATAATTCGGAAATTTGTGTATTATATCTGCATATTAGCAATACATCCTTGAGTCGAACGTGTCGCAATTTACACACACACACACATACACACACACATACACACACGGAAACTGGGAACATCGCGGTGAAACACCATGGATTACGCGTCGAAAGTGAAAATCGCGTTTATGATTGTGACATAAACGCGAAATAAACTTCCCAAAGCGCTTTGACAATTTCGGATAAGTTCGTTGTGGGACGCGTGGCGCAAAGGAATATTATATTTATACGCCGCTCTTGTAAAGCCTCCTCCCTCCCGCCCCCCCCCCCCCTNCTTTGACTGTGCGCGAGGTATTTGTCTATTATTTCATTTTCTGTGTCCAGTGTCCCGAACACTTCTGTCGAATATTCTGAAACAATCTCGCGTCGTCAGCAGCGGGCAGCTATTTAGCGTAGCGTGAATGTACCGCGCGCGCCGGATTTACGGGCGCAACGTCCGTAAGCGGATTTTACGTGCGGGCATTAATTACGGCTAATTACGGCGCGACCGGTCGTCGTAACGAAAATCTGTAAACACAATTATCGACGAGTGTGATTTCTACAAGTGATAAACAACGCGTGCAGCCAGTCCCTCGCGCCTGGCATCTAACGGCAAATGAATGATGTAATTGTTTGTTTACTCGTCTAATTAAATATGGCGCTGAATCATGGCGCGGTGAGGTAATCAAGGGGTGGAGCGCGAGGGGCGACGTCGCGTTTCAACATATTCTTTAAACATACTCTCGCATGCACGCGCGGAAGCTCGCTAATGGACGGCTTACTTTTGTTAATAATCGATCAGGAAAAGCGATTGTTTGCCGCGCTGCCGGCAGCTGCAACGTAACTACGTAAGCAGACTAAAAGAATCGGATGTTTGGAGGTGTACGCGCGAAATAAATTCTTCCTCGGAACTCGATAGAGTGTTCCGCGATTAATCCTGACGATTAATGAACACAGTTGCGAGAGAGCTCCGTTAGTCTTTCTTATCGCAAGAGACTCTCCTTCTCCGTGGGTCCGTTTGTTCAAGACTTTATTGATCAAACGCAATATCTCACGTAGTTTCGCGACGTTTCCGCTTGTAATCTGAAATTTCTACCCAGAACGGTCCGATTCCCGTGTGGCACTTATCTCTCCGGCAGCTTAATCTGACACACTGGAGATGCATTTTTTACAAGGTGGAAGCACAAGTTTTCTGAAAAAATAATGTTATATATAGAAAGTAACAGTAATTATTATTACTAATTAATATTATTTATATTATTATTATTATTGTATATAATGTAAAGAACCGAAGTACAGCTGAAAAATTTTCTGCCTTTATTTCACACTTCGACACCTTAATGTGACACACGGGGAGTCAGAAACGAGCCTAACTTTACCTTTTCCCTTTATAACAGCTAACCGAAATGGCTTAACTCTGTTTAAGTCTGATATTCCTCTCAGCTGAAACTTCTTTTACCGCCGGGAACAGAAGTGCTCATTCCACTGGCTTGCGATGAAATTCGAAATGAAAGATCGGTCGGGGTCGAAAATAGTTCCAGTGTGTCAGATTGGGATTAAAAGAGCCCCCTGACCCGTCGCTTTTACCAAGTGGAAGTTATGAAAATCGACGCACAGCGCGAGCGAGCGCGAGAGTAGCTACGCCGGAGGGCGTAGTTCGCGTCCACCGGCATTCCGTTCGCGTCTGCTGCAGCTACGCGTTGCCGTAATTAATTACTATAATTTCTGCTCATCCTGCGTGTACGGTTTGCAGCTCACATGATGATTACAGGCCCGTCGATGTATCCGTTTCTGGCCAAAGCCGCCGTCAGGATGTCGCCTATTGCCGAAATCGGCCTGCAGCAAATCAATTTGCGGTGAATTAAGTTCGCGAGTCCAGCGATTAAATTCCGGGACAGATTGACCCTCTCGATCTCGACGGTATAGAATTTCGCGATACGTGCTGCGATACGGAGATTCCGTTTCGTTACGATGCGCGATATCGCGCGCGCCGTTCGTTGTTTGACTTCCTGTTTCTTCCCTCTCTCTCCCTCCCCTCCCCCCCCCCCGTCCCTAACGTTTTTCTCGCGGCGTTCAGTTTTAATATCCGGCGTATATCCTCCGGCTCGCGCGACTCCTTTCGTTAAAACTCGTACCCGTTCCTTCGCACCGTTCGGAACAGCCTCCCTTTGATGTTCCGTACGGAGTATGAAGGGAGCGTGCGCGCGGTTTCTAATATTCGGTCCCCCATCTCTATCCTTAATCTCGCCGGCGTATCGGGGCCTCTTTGTGATATGATCCGCTCTCTCGAAGGAGAAGCTCTCTCACAGGTCGATGGCGTCTTGTTTGTTATCGGGAAATGTAAGTGTCACTACTGCCTCGAGATTAGCCGGGTCGTTACAGATAGTCCACGCCATAGAACACGGACAGATCAACGAGGCCGTAACCGCCGTGGATAATGGGCGATAGTTAATCGAGGTGATTACACAGCTTAAAGGCTTTACCATTAAGACACAATAGCGTGACACGCGCCTCGGGCACAGATAGCCGAGACATGGATTCGATAAGCATCGCGCGATCCCTACTAACTCTCTCTCTCTCTCTCTCTCGCTGTCGATATATCATACTCACCTGAAGGCAGGTGAGGCACGTGGGTGGGAGTTAGCTGTAACCGTTTGATCCTTCGGCTCATTCACAGCCAGTATCGTTCGATTCGTCGCGCTTAAATAAGCGAACTCGAAGTCGCCACACACATGCCGGTAATCACGAAGGATCAGCTTCTCCGCGGGAAATAGGAGAAAACACGGATCGAAGGGGATACTCAGGTACGTTGGCTATGAGTAAACACAGCGCGGTAATTGTCGCCTCAATTAAAAAAATTTCCCGCGTATAAACTGAACGTTAATCCAACTGAGGTTAAACCATCGAAGTAAACTTAACCGTCCATTCTCCACGCGTATTACTCGTCTATGATCTAACGATTCGAAGGAACTTGAATCAATGTTCTAAGAAATCTTCATATTTAATTCTATTATTTAATTCAACCTTAATATTTTTCAACGTTAGTATTTTTAAAGACATCTTGAGACGTTAATTGATCTGTAACCTAATACTCGAAGGATTTTTAAAACTTCTTACTTAATTCCGATATTTAACTCGTCCCTAATATTATAAATATATCGAATAGTTAAAATCAGTCATTTAGTACTTAAGAGAAAAGTGTATTAAAGAAAAAATAGGCGGAGACAATTTGCGACTCTAACTCGTTTATGAGATGAATCGAGTGATCAGCATGAAGGCACGTGCTCGAAACCGGTAAGCGGAAAATATATTGGACATGAAACTACATTTCTCGTAATTTACGCATGGGTCTCGCTAAGCCCGACTGGGAGGGATTGTAATCTAACTACGTGATATTTCTGCTTTGAGCGAAACGTATAGAATATTTAATCGTCGTATTGTCGTCCGTAAGCTCCGTTCAATGGAGTTGCGTGGTTGCGCTCGACAGTGACATTAGAGTGAAAATGACAACATGATGTGGCGGAGACAAATTGAACTGCACCGCATAGATACGCGGCCACGCGCACGCAAGGCTGTGCTGCCGTTTTTGTACATTACAGAACATTCCGAATTTATCGCGGTATCAGACCAATATAAGCACGTAACGTCGCCGCGAAATAACGGGTTATTATTTAAATATTATAATCTTTGCAAGAGTCGTGGGTAATGTGTGTGTAATTGGGGTCAACGTCGCAATTATCGACCGCCCTGCCCGCTTTACCGTTCGAGACGACGCTAGCTATAGCCAATAGTTATAGCCAAGTATTATCTAGTACTCTATTATCTTAGTATTATTTAGTACTCCGTTTAATTAGCACCTCGGAAACGTAACTTGTTTTTCACGATCACGCGTCTAGTGAGGATAACAATAATTTTCCGTCTGGCTACCGGTTATGTTAATGTCGCGAAAAAAATGTTTTGCGTGGGGAACGCACGTTGACTTCCTCGTGCACATGCACAATACATTTTTCCATTCGTGAAACGCAAACTGTAATTATCGCCGGAAAAAAAGCGACGGAACGGCCAGCGAAATTTGAAAACCACGACCTCGGAGATGCGCCGAATATATCCCGATATCTCATTAACTTTTGGCAAAGATATCTCGTATCGTCGTGGCGCAAATATTTGGCTAAATAAATAATTAAACGAATTAACTCAATAATTAATGATAAAAATTACTTCATTGAGAGAAATTAATTACCTGCAGTCGTGTGTCGAAACGTCCCCGGCAAAATAGCTTAAATCTGAACTGTGGATTGCACGGATTCAAATTTATTTATTGATTAATTTATTTACTTTACGAGAAAAATCCTTCCGGAAAAGAAAAGAATATAAAGTAAAATAAATTAAATTGCAATATTACGAGATAATGATTTTTGTAAGGTTTTGGAATTACAACATTTAGAATTGTGACATTACAACAAAGGAATAAAGTTTTCAAATGAGATTTTTCCATCATATAAAATATGTAGATTCGTCTGTCGCCGCGGTGCTAAAAATATCTCAAAGGGTCAAGCACGTGTGCCCGGCCGACGATATGATGTCAGCACGAGCAACAGCCTTTTATTTCCGCGTTACAGATTTTTCGTCATAGTCCATTCGCTCAACGTCGCCGGACGTTTTGTCGATAAACCTCCTTCGTCTCGTAGTGTGCATCCATTTCCGAATGATAGGGTTCCCGTTCCGATCGGCGTGTTACATATTCCAAGCGGCGTGCGTGCGATCGGAATGGAAATTGTATCATTCGCGATTAAGGTGCGTGAAAGGAGCAAGGATACCCGTTCCCAAGGACAGATTGTCTATCGATGCCGAGGGAATCGTGTATCTCGCGGCGACACACGAACAGACAATGGTTATGCAATCCCATTGGCTGTGCTAGCGGATTGGGAATTTTTTTTCGTTGTCACGTTCCTGCATAAAGCGGCGTATCTAAACGGTGAACGAAAAGAAAAATATCCCGGGACGAGGCGGCATAAGATCTTTAGGAACGGAGCGGAATAAAAATTTCGAAGGTTGTCTACAGCTCGAGCGTCCTCTGCCTCCCCTCCCTCCTTCCCTCCTCGCCCCGTACCGATCTCTGATGTGTTACAACGGCACGTGTTGGGCAGCTGTCCTTTGCCATTTAAACAACGTTCGCAGACAGGAAAAACACGCAAGTGGCCGGCGGGAGTGTCCGTATACGTCCATAAAATAATATTGATTCACCATATATTAAAGTACAACGACGTGTACACGCTCGTTCCCTGATTACCTTGAAATCGTTACTGATTCACGCAAATCGCCTGGCCGGTTACCATTACGGGAACAAATCTGAATATTCAGTTCTCCAATTTTAATTCCACAGTTTCCGTAATCGCTTGCCCCCTCCGACCCGGGAATCACGATCGAGATAACGAGGCTTATTAATTCAGTCGATTTGAGATATGCATTGCAAATAATAAGAAAAAGAGGTAACAGAAAAACACTGAAACGATAATCTCGACCGCGCGAATCGTGTGCGAAATAGAACGCGCGTCCAGATAACGCGTGTGCGTGCGGGATAATAATAGTAATAATAATAGCAATACGCGTGCAACAAGCTGTGAAAATCATTTCTTCATTTCTTCCATTTTTCAGAGAGAGAAAGAGAGAGTCAGCGACAATTCACCGACGCCGACGACATTTCATCGATGAGCCCCGGAGTCGATAGAAGCATCGAGCACCTCGCGCACTTTTGGAAATGAACGTGTGAGACGAAGGAAGAAAAAAAAAAGAGTATAAAAAGAAGTGCTCGTGGAAATATACCTGCGAGCGGCTGAGCGCGCATCTCCGTGTCGGAAATTTATATCGCGCATCGACCGGCATCTGGAAACATGACGGCCGACAAAATTGAAATGCCGGGACAATTCGTGAAGGCGCCGAGTCCCAGTTTCAAGCCGTCCGAGCGATGGCGGATCATGCGGAACATCCTGACGATAAGCTGCGCCTTCATGGTGAATTTTACCGCGTTCATGGGAGCCGCGAACTTGCAGAGCTCGATCAACGCCGATCAGTCGCTGGGCACGTTCACCTTGTCGGCGATTTACGGCAGTCTGCTGTTCAGCAACATTTTTCTACCCGCCCTGATCATAAGGTGAGGCTCAGTGAGTGGGATTTAACCGGTCGGTATGTCAAACGATATAGTTATGTCAATTCATTTCGAAAGAGACGCGTTGCAGACGGTCGGTTCTAAATCAATACGGTACCGCGAGTATCATCAGAGGGTCGTCTTCGGTATCCTCCTTCGCGGCTCGGATAATTTCATTCCATTCCGCGCGATTTGTACGTCGCTTTCTCGGTGCGCCTTCGCGTAACGGGCCGGAATACACCAAGAACCAGCCAGGTTTTGACTCGTCGCGATCGCCGGTGATAAATGTCCCGCGTTCTAAACGGGCGAAAACGGCGAGATCCGTCGTTGAATCCGTCTGATAACCGCGTCGCCGTCGCGCAACAGTCGTTACGAACGGGAAAAACGAATAGAAATATCCTTCGGAAAGTTATGCGGCTCGTGTCGTTCGTGACGAGAAGGAGAGCCTTGGATCATCGCGCACGCTGGAAGTGCTTGATGTGTTTCCCGTGTATATGGAACATATAGGCGGCCAGATCCGCCCACAGTCCCCACAGTACTAAACTTTATTACGCCTTCGTCGTTTTCACCTTGGCCCGGTATTATGTGGCAAACCCCGCTGGGTTCCAGCATTCCGCCAAGAGCGAGATGAACGTGCTTCAACGCACCTGCGAGAAAACCCCCAAGTGGCGCATCTTTCCCTACTTAAAGTGGTCTAAAACGGACAGCCCTTAGCACGCTATTCCCCGCTAATTACCCCCGCCCATTTATCCGTAGTTGCATTCAACCACGTCTCTCACTTAACTCCTTCAATCACGTTGGGTTGCGCATGTCCCACAGTAAGTTGAAAACTTTAGCTCGCGATAACATTATTTAACTTATTTTTCGACACACACACACACACACACACACACATACACACACATTGATCGGCATATGTGATATTGCACGGTGAAAAAATTCTCTGTTAAAAACGGTCCATTGAAATTTGCTATTACTTTAACACGGGAGACGTGTTAGAAAGTACACAAATATAATGTTAAATTAATACACGTTGGCAAGGTAAAAATATATTAATTTAAACGTCACATTTATATACTTTTTAACAGATCCCCCATGTTGAAGTGATACCAAATTTCAACGAATCCTATTTTAAAACAAAATTTTTTTTACCGTGCGCTATTGAATCAAAGAGATTCGCTCCAATTAAACGGGCCGTTGCCAATTCCGCTGATTCAACAGCGCGTTATTTCCGTGTACGTTTCTTTGATACAAAAGGAAGACCAATTTCACCGATTCATATCCTAAATAACCAACGGACGGAAGCACCTGTCCAATTCACATTTGTGCAATTCTATTGCAGCTGGCTGGGCTGCAAGTGGACGATGTCGGTCTCCATATTGGCCTATATGCCCTTCATAGCTTCCCAATTTTACCCGAAGTTCTACACGATGATCCCCGCCGGGTTGTTGGTCGGTTTGGGCGGGGGGCCGCTTTGGTGCGCGAAATGCACTTACTTGACCGTAGCGGCGGAGGCCTACTCGACTATCTCGGACATGGCCGTGGACGTCCTCGTCACGAGGTTCTTCGGCCTCTTCTTTATGTTCTATCAAATGGCGCAGGTGTGGGGAAATCTTATTTCTTCCGCAGGTGGGTCTCGTCGCGTTTACGGTACGTACGTACGTCCCGTTGACGTATTTCAGTCGAGTTTATATCTCACACGCGTATATATATATCGCGCTTGTATTCGCACCGGGGCGCGAACAATATCTGCTTCACGAGTGGGTCTATCAATTCGGTGACGTATCGCGCAACGATGATGCAAGCGTTAATTGATAATCACCGCTATGCTTCACAGCGTTTGCAAAATAGAAACGTTAGCGACTCGGAATTTTATTGCCGACGTTGACGCACGCGAATGTTCACAACTCGGGTAATATATTTTATTATGCATTCAATGTGTTCATTATCTCTTATGTAACGCGACTGCACAGGTGTATGTGTTTCTTTTTTCTCAACGATAAACATGAAAAAAAAACTAATTAACCGCGCCTTACCGCGTTATAATCTATAACAGCCGATAAACGCAATAACTGTCACCGCTATGAAAGACGAGCCTTTGGTGAACTTTTTCCGACGCTGCGGAAAGCTTCATCTTCCTTTGTTTACCTTTTTAGGGTAAAACGTGTTTAATTACTTGATCGGCAGTTTGATCGACGTTTTATGAAAATACCGCGTTTCGGCAAACACTGCGAAATGTAGCCGCCTATCGCGGAAGCGCACATGAATGCATAGCTGTGGGACTATAAAACACACGAAGGCCGATGAAAGCGAATTTTCAGCTCTGCCGACATCGCAATTAGAAAATTAGAATAATGGACGCACAGACCGCACGGTAAGGTTTGGCCGAGCATCCTAATGGCCATATTTCGTTCTACTTAAATATACAAATGTGCTTACGTGCGACAGAGGAATCATCGGCATAACAATCGACAGCATTCGTTGCATCCCGGCGATGTCTCATTCCCATTCATGATCTTCCGAAGCGGCCGTTAAAAATTCCGTCACTAGTGATCCATCTGCAAACAAATCATTTTGTTACCGTTGGTAATATTTTTGCTTTTATTTTATTGATCGCGCTTCTTACATATTTCTTTTTTCCTTCTTACCTCAGTTCTTTCTTACGGCATCGACACGGTTACGACAAACGTGACTCTGAATAGCAGCATCGTCGCGGAAACATGCGGCGCAAATTTCTGTGGAGTATCCGGTGCGGAAGACGAGAACCCGAATTTGCAACCACCGCCGGTGGAACGAATACACCTGATCTCTGGGATTTATTTGGCCTGCATGATACTAGCCTGTCTGATAATAGCGTTCGGCGTCGATTCCTTATCCAGGTACGGTCTCCGTGTTTCGACATTTTTGATCGCCTCCCGAAAATACCGGAAGATCGAATTACGCAACCGAGAGTTACGGGATATGTTACGTGAAAGTTTCACTCCTGACGTGGAGGAATATCTGTTTCGTATAGATACGACAGGAACAGAGCCCGAACGGTGAAAAGCTCGTCTGGGTTCAAACTGCTGGCCGTGACATTAAAGTTGTTGAAAGAGAAGAGCCAGCTGTTGATATTGCCGATAACGATGTTCATCGGCGCCGAACAGGCCTTCTTATTCGCCGATTACAATGCGGTGAGTGAACATGCACGCATAATTGCGAGGAGGAGAGAAAAAGTACTAAACAAAATTGTTATTTACTCTTTAAACTTCTTGGAGTAAAATCTCTCTCGAAACGAGTGAAAATTCATTCCAAGTGATATTAGAAATAATGCCAAAAATACAAGAGTAAATAGTCGTTCAAACTTAAAGTAGATTCTTAATCAATGCGTGTGAATATTTCAATCGATTACGGAAAACTTGTTCCAAGTGATGGTAAAGTGCACTCACAGTCAGGTGACTAAAGATTGCAACATTTTCCCCGACGAGTTTCGTAACGTTTCTCGTATCTAGTAGGAGAATTTATTTTTAATCATTCTCAGATGTAGATTTTCTTATTATACGTGCAGAATACGTTGCAAAATTTATCGAGGAAAAGTGACAACTCTTAATCAGCTCTATGTTGTATGTAATCAGCTACAAAAAAATTGCAATATTTTTTTTATACGAGATATTACGATATATTTCGTAATGCATCTCGTATTCAATAGGAAAATGCTGCATCTCCTGAGAATTACTAAGAAACAAATTTCCTACTAGAGACGGGATGCGTGGATTCATAAAAAAAAAAAAGAAAAAAGAAATATTGCTTTTTGTAACCCATACATCAAATTTACTGCTCAGTTTCGAATGAAAATATCCACTTGACGATCCAAAGTGGAGAATTCACTCTGTAGAATTCTCCCTGGAGAATTTCTGTGAGAAGTCGCGGGCGAATTCGAGCGACGCGGCTGAGTCACCCTTTTTGAATGAAAATTCACTTGAAGAAATTCAGAGAGTACATGAGAAATGAGAAGTCTTGTCGTAAAGGAGCGGTGATATCTTCTATCCGTTGCAGTCGTTTGTCTCCTGCGCTTGTGGAATTAGTAACATCGGTTACGTGATGATATGTTTCGGCGTGACGAATGCCATGGCCGCACTCGCCACGGGATCCATCGTGAAGTTGACCGGGAGGAAGCCCGTGATGATCTTCGCATTCTGTTTGCACCTGGGCATCTTCGTCTTCATGTTGCAATGGAAACCGACGCCCGACCAAGGTGTCATCTTTTTCCTGCTGTCCGGTTTGTGGGGCGTGTGTGACTCGATCTGGCTGGTGCAAGTCAACGGTATGTGAGCGAAAATACGCTTGAATAAACTACAGTTGGACGCGAGGGTATCCCTAATGAGATTGTTCGTTATATTCAAATAATTGTGTTACCACACACGTTATCCTAGATACCAGACGCGGTATCTCTCTAATCTTACTATTCGTCGCTAATCATTGCCAAGTTACTGTATGACGATAACTGTCGCGTTTTCTAGCTTATCAGCTGATTGTAAGGTTGTATCGACGGACGTACATGTTGCGATCCTTTTAAGGTGGTTCGAGCGCATTTGATTTGACAAATGTAAAATAAGCCTGATGCAAAAGTCGCATGATACAAATATACGCATGATACAAAAGTCAATCGAACTAGCAATGCGCAAAAAAAATCTCCACAATGTTTACCGTAACGTTTCTGAAATATTTAATTATAAACTCGTATGTGCAAGCATGCAGAAGTCTCATGACACAACAAATTTCTTCTAATTTGACATATTTGTGTATAAGATAGAAGCTTAGAAAACAGTCACAAGTATTAAAGACCAATATAAACATTAATAAGAGAAATAAAAAATAATATTTTCGTATTTGTAATATTGTGTACATTTACGTCAGCTTCCTTTCAAATTAACATTTATTATTTCGATGTATAAATGCATAGAAACGTAATCTTATTTGATAAAGTGTAAATTTATGAAAAACACTCTTAAGCGCTACTGAAAATATGGTATTTTAAGGGATGAACTTAATAACGGTGAACCAACTGACGGTACAACAGTTTTAACTAGTTCTAGCAGCCTTCGCGGAAACGCTGTATCAATGAATAAATTCGCGACGACCTGATACTTGGTTCTGGCAATTAACGACTATTTGCGTGTGAAATTTTCAGCCTTGAGCGGCATTTTATTCCCCGGTCGGGAAGAGGCAGCTTTCTCCAACTTCCGCTTGTGGGAGTCCACTGGTTCTGTAATAACGTACATCTATAGTCCGTATCTGTGTACCTATACGAAGCTGTACCTTCTGATCGGGATACTGTGCACCGGAATGGCTGGTTACGGCGTTATCGAGTGGACGAACAAAGCGGAGAAAGCCATTTCCGTTAAAAGGCCCGAGTTAGAGTTGATGAATGATAACGAAATCAACCGATAAAGTACGAAGTATGGAGTTTGGTTTAGATAATCCTCCGGACGATCGATGGAATCGTGCGCGATTCTTGGGAAATGTTATTTTTTGATATTATCGCCGATATATGTGCCAAAGTAAGAAATTTATGGAAGTAAATTTATGCGTTAAACGCACAACTACACTCTCGAAATTGAGACGTATCTTATTTATCGTTAGCAAAGATATTGTCGAAAGATGTCGTTGATCGGATTCGATTGTAAGAAATAATGCATTCTTCGCAAGGTATTCGAGTTTAATTTGAATTTATTAGAGGACGAGAGAAACGTATCTTTGAACTGACTCAAAACTGACACACAGACGATGCTCACAAAGAAGACTCCATAACAAGTTACATTTAGTAATGATCGTTTCTCTTATTACGTTGTTGCAAAAAATAACGAATAATAGTCACTCGTGAAAGCGCATGACACTGTAAAACGCGAAAAATCGCAACACAGGTACGACTTTTTGTTATTTGTACCACAATATATGTTTTTATTTTATTCTTGTGGACACCTACTAAATTTTACACAGGTATTCGCTTAACGGCTAAAATTCTTATCCTTCATTTAAATACGTAATTTAATGTTACATCGTGTGTGCCTAAGTGCTAACATTCAAGCTAAAGCTACGGCTGCTTAGTTTAGTTGTATACTTATGTGCTTAATTGCCGACTGTGTGCTTATTTCGTTTGCCATGATCAATTGATTCCCGTCTTCGACGAAGGCAGCTTACCGAGTTGTACGATTCCCCTCTCCGTAACGAGGTGTGATCGATGTTCTCCGACAGCAGCAACGTCGAATCAATTGATCGGCTAGTCGTATTTTAGCGTCGTTAAATTGCTGATTGTATCGTGGTTATTATTATTATTATTATTATTATTAGTTTAACTTTGCGGCTCGTCGCGTATTTACAATTCAAATATTCTGCAGTTCAGTTATATACTTTATAAAACGTAGTAGGAACTTTGGTTTCGCTGGGCAATGTTTCAGGAGCAGTTTCCTCTTATTGATTCGTGACTTTATTTCGTGATTCCGCACGGGCTTTTTCCGGATGTGCTTTCTTCATCTTCTACTTCTTCTTCGTCTACGTTTTTTTCTCCTCTTTCTCTTCTTTTTTTTTTTGCTCTGTTACCCACGGTTCCGAGTAAACTATCCGTTATTATTATTATTATGTGGACTATTTTTAATCGACGCAAATTACCGGATAAAACAAGCGATTCAGCGATTCTGGAAACTGCTATAAAACATTCGCCCGTGGATCTATCTTCCTTAGAAATATGACACTCACGAATACAATTCACATGTTTTTTTTTTTCTTGTAATACTCATGTTTATATTTTCATAAGGATTTCTATTTGAATATTTCAATTTCACGAAGAAAATACACATGGTTCTTAAAACCGTCTCCGCGTTTTTATTTTTATCACCACCGCGCGTCATTCCAGACGCTCTACTCTTTATTCTTTTTCTCTCTCCCTCTCTTTCTCTCCCTTTCTCTCGCTCTCTTTCGTTCTCACTCTCTTTCTTTCTTTCTTTCTCTCGTTCTCTTTCTCTCTCTCTCTTTCTCTCTCGCTCTCTCATATAACAAAATTTAATAACCGGAATATTTCTGTACAAACGTTTTCGCTCTTTTATCAAAAAGGATAACATATACATCTCACCCTCCCCGTCCTTTAATAAAAATTTTGAATTTTGAATTTTACTCCGTCGTGTATATCTTTCATCCAACTCCACCCGCGCCTTTCACCCTCCCGTTTACTCCTATAATACAACTTTTTAGGAACAGATCACTTTGCTCGTCTCAGGCTTAAAAGTAAAACCTTAAAATACTTCTTTTACTTTTAGAAATTTATTATTTCTTTAACCATGTAAATTTTATTTTGCATGAATTCAGCTATTTTATAGCTATAATAATAAAAGTTAATTATAATATTACAATACCTAAGTGTATCGTATTATGTACAGGCTAACTTTGCGCCCCTAGCTACGCGTCAAGTCAAAGATTTCGCGATAGTATCGTAGCGAGTAGACCCCGTTATGAAGAGGATGAAGTACATTTTATGCACAATCTTACTCATTAAACGTACTCGTCTGTTAGATATTAAGAAAACCGTACTTTAAAGGGCGTTCGTTTAAATACCGTCTTATCCGCGGGAGAAACGACTGCGAATCGCGTCTCGCTAAATCACCGCGCCGCAACGTAAATGCGTTCGTGCAACGCATGCAAATCAACCGTCTAGAATTGTCGCTATAGAGTGTGGGGAGATTTTACATGGCCGTGTGTTTATACGTTTATTTACGATCATAATCGATTCTTTAAGAAGGGGGCACGATGAAGCGTAAATAATTCTCCGATTTCAAGATCACGCGTCTGCGACAATTAGCTGCCATCGTCGTGTACAACTACGCTCGAAAGAATACGCCAACCGAATCATCCGACATCTTCATACACACACACACACACACACTCTCTCTCTCTTTTTTGTACGCGCGACAGTAGGTACACCTCGTTGAAGATGAAAATAGGAATTAGGCGACGCGCGCGCGCACACACACGTACATACACACACTCACATCCACGCACATACATACACACATACGCACACGCGCACAGAAGCATTTCGTAATCGAAGAATTATGTCTGTCGAATATCCCGCAGATCGGAGTCGAGCTCTGGTAATGTCGAAGTTTTCGTCCGAACTTCAGCGTTATTCAGCGAATAAGCAGATCGCATTAATATGTATAGGAACGGAGGATGCGTGCTCATTTAACACGTATACGTCTTACATGGCAGATTATTACGGACTAGTTTTGCAGAAACTCGAATCCCTCGTCTGTCTCCTAACCCCGTTTCCTCTTTTTTTCCCTATAGGATTAAATACAACTTCAGGAGCGTCGGTAGTGTGGCATGTGGTACATAATCGTTCATAGCATACTTTCAAAGACGTTATTGCGTTATTTAGTCACTAAAGGAATTTCATTGATCTCTAGATACACGTGTAATTTACAGTAAATCTCTCGCGCGCGCGCTAAAAACTCCCGACCGACTTGTTCCTTTCCTCTCTTTTCTTCTTCTCCTTTCTTCTTCTTCTTCTTTTTTTTTTGCTCCGAAACTACGACAGAAATATTATCGTGCTCGTTCTAATCGTGTTTTATACATGCAGGGGATGATATTACACAATCGGTACAGACGATGATCCTTTTGTATCTTTATTTAAGCGATGCTTTCTCAATTTTTGTGTCATATTTCGTTCCTTTTCCTCTTTCTTGCGCGAAATTCTCAAAACGAGCAACAACGATATTTCCAGGATCCCCACGATCACGGATCAGTCGCGGTTCTTTGCCGCGCGCGAAACATTGCCGCCCTTCGAGTGTTTCGATTTTGAGTGCGTGCTTTGTCCATTTTTTTCCCCCTCGCATTAGTTACGCCAGTTGATTATGTATCGATTGCACCTGCTCGCGCCGCGGAACCGCTCGTCGCTCGCGTCCCGCCTTACTTTTATTTGTTTTGTTATTCCGCTCTCGTTACATTTCCTTTTTTTCTTTTGGAAGATACAGCGTTGTGTGAATTTCTATGGATTTCATCATTATCTCCGCACGACGATCAACAGTATATCTCTCCGGCCGGTTCCGGTGGATCGTGCCCCGATAGACGTACGTATCCCGACGAGAGAGTCGGCCGCGCGCGCGATCGCGCGGGCGACTGCAATTAATTAGAAAAGGTCTCGACGCGGTTTTTCCGTCGTTGCATGATAAACGGCCCCGCGGTAATCCCCGGTCGTCGAGGTATTTACGTCCGTCGATTCGTTGATGCTTACCAATTGTCGATAACTGCCTCGCTCGAAACTCGAAATTGGATCAGCTATAGTCAGTGCTCTCCGATAGATGTATATCTATGAAAATTGGAAGCGCGCGACGAATTGGTGTACCAAATGAGAGAGACAACGATTTTAGATTATCAGTTCTCGATATTCGACTCATGTATACATCACATATTCGTAGATTAAAGCTATTTACATATAGATTTCGTATACACCTGCGATCACAATATTCGAAGGACTCCGCTCGCGCGACCTAGAACGATCTTCCGGCTCGATAATAATAATTCGATAATCGCGCCATCGATATATATATAAACCCTTCCTCTTCCTTCCTTATCATGGGACAATGAGATAAGGAAGTGTCGTCCTCGTGCACGATCCCTCTCGTTTTATACGCCGCGCGGAGGACAGACGCGAGAATTCGAAAAGCTTCACGAGACGCGCTCCTTTTCCGCTTCCTCCTCCTCCTTCTCGTCGCCCGTATCTTGAAGCTTTTCTCATATGTTGCTCGTTTGATCGGTAGACGTACTTCTTCCCTATACGACCCCCTTGGACATCATCCTCACTGTATTCTTCAGAGCTTGCCTCTTGTTGCAGAACCAGATCCTTATCACTTCCCGGTCGTATCCGAGCCGGTGCGCCAGCGTCGTGATTTCATTGCCTGCAAAGAAGAAGAGAAAATTCGTCGCGTTTTCCGGCGAGTTCCACAAGCAGTTTAACGAGCCGGGAGAGGGGGGGAGATTAATTATAATGACAAGGAACGACAGGGGAAGACGGAAGGTGCTAATTGACGGTGTGTGACGGCGAAACACTGACCGGTAGGATGAGTGTTCCTGTCAAAGTGTGCGTTCAGCAATTCTAAAGCCTGCGGCGTGAAGGAGGTCCGCCGTTTTCGCTTCTTGCTCGGCTCGACTCCGATGAAGTCCGTCAGATGATTAACGCCGCTCTTATACCTGTAATCACATGCACTACTCTTGGTCAAATTCGGAAGGTTGCATCATCGTCGGCGTTTACGTAATGTTACGCCACGTGCGTTAACTCCCGTGAGAAAGTACGCACGCACACGCTCGCCGTTCGTGCGCGATTACAGCCGCGAAATAGGATCCCGTTTAAAAAGTCCCGGCCGGTTAATCGCCGTGCTTTCGCAATAATTAATTACGTCCGCGAGTTCTCCGCATTGAGTTCGACGTTTTCGTCTTTCTCTCCTTCCCTCCCTTCCTCCCTCCCTCTCTCTCTCTCTCCCACTTGCGGTTTACGAAATATTGTTATAAATCCAATATGGAAAAAAATAATTCTGTTTACCGTTTTGCACGCTCGTAATTACGTTAGCGCGAAATAGGATACTGATTAAAAAAGGAAATCATCGGCCAGCGTCACGATACTCGCGCGCCCGGACACGTTCGGTCGCAAATATCCTGTACGATATTGGATTTTTCCCCGTGTACACATTCAGTTGATTCACGAGTCGAACTTACTCCGCGCATCGCGAAACACCGCGGCCGGCGACGGAGGCGACGGCGGCTGCGTCGGGGTCGGCGTTGGCTCAAATAAAATTAGCGATCGAATAGTCGCCGCGCGCTTTCCAACTCGACGCTTTATTTCATTCGTTAATCGGCGAGCTGGTTGGATCTTGGACAACTTTCGTTGTTCGTAGATATCGTTCGTGTGAGTGTGCGCGTGTGTGTGCGCGCGCGCGCGCTTCCCGGCTGTTATTAACTATTAAAAAGGCGTTAACAGGATCTTCGATCTCGAGGCATTTTCAATATCTTAGTTATTGTCGACTAATTCGGGAACTTGGAATAACGCATTGATTGTCGAATAATAAGGCTAATACATATTGCAATATTTTTTCGGACGGCTAATTAAACAATTGATATATCGAAATTAAGTATAATTGCTTTTAATAATGGTAAAGATAGAATATATAGGCCATATGAGAAGCTGAAGTACGGTTGTTGTAGTGCTTTTTAAATATGAATATTGCCAATATTAATACGTTTGGGGGAGAGGATAAAAATATCCATCGTGTATCACGCACACGTGCCGAAGAATTTTTCGGGCAAGCGTACGCGGCGAATCAGCCTTTCTCGTATATATATAAACCGACCGTCGAATCCCAGTAATATAATTTTATATATTAAATACCTCTGAAACCTTCCCTAATTAACAAATTAAACGATAGCTTTCTTTATTTATTCTGTTTCTCGTGTTACGAAAAATACTGCCTCAGCCGGGAATCGAACCCGGATCTCCCCGCTATCCGGCCGTATCAATTTCGAGGTTTCGACAGTATTCCTCGCGACCACAATCAGTATTTATAAACTCGTAAGAATATATGTACGAGAGCGAACAGTTTTATCCTCTCGCGGACATATTGATGTTGACAATGTTAATATTTAAATAGTACCATATCTGTGCCTCGCCCTCTTTTTTCGTGATCCCGTATACTTTAAACGAATAACATTTTTAACCTTAATTCGGCGCCCGTGGATCAAAAGCTGGCCCAAGCGAGAGAAATGAAGTTAAATCTTGAATCGTTACACATATAAACATAGAATTCTTTTCTTGATATACACACGCCATATTACAGTGAAGAATTCTTAGGAATTTGGAATTCGGATAGTGAGCTCCTCGTCGAGAAATAATTGGTCGTCTCACAGATCCGCCCGACAGCCTCGATTACACCGTCCGAGATTTCGCTGCCGACAATCGGACAAATAGCCGAAAGAAATTCGGTCGGTTCCCCCCACCCCCGCGAAAGAGCCGAGCGCGGGGGCGAACTTTTTCGGCGTTATGCGACTAGCCGGCGTAATTTCATTTGACGGATAGTATTATCGGATAGTGCGGCGCGGCGCGACATGGAAAAAGCTCGCGGCCGCGACAGTAAACAGGAGAACTTCCGTTGGGACTCGCGAGTGAGCGATGAGAGGCGGCTCGGGGTGGCCGGAGGGTGCGGCGGGGGTTCGATGGTGTGTGGCGCACTCGTAGAGGTAGGTACAGTCTCCCTCGTCGCGGGTACCGGCTCAAAATTTATGTTTTTAATTTAACTCCAAATGACCAACTGTCGAGTCGAGCGAAAAAAGTACACGGCGGGCCATTAGCATCGCGCGGTAATATTTCGTCGAATTCGCGAAAACAATATGCTAATGGAGAAGTCGGTGAGAGAGCGCGAAGAACCGACGATTCGACGGGGTTGGTCGGGAGGACTGCCGCTTGGTGTGCGTGCGTGTGGGTGTGGTGGTGACTGGCGCGGGGAAGGTGCAAGGCGCAAGGAGAGAGGAGTAAGTGTAGGGACGGGGGAGGGGGAAAGCGAAGAAAGAGAAGAAACGAACGGGCGAGTTAATACGTGAGGGGACGGGGGGCAGCTGCGTGTAAACTCGTACGTGGCTACATACACCTTGGCGCGCTCTGTGTGTTGCGTTACAGGTGTGTGGGAGAGGGCGACACGGAAAGATCGGGCACGAACGAGAGGTGGAAGAAAGACGGAAGAGGACGGAGGTGGAAAACGCGCAGGAGGGAAGGAAGGCGAAGAGAGTCCGGGTGAGTGGAAGGAACGACAGAGAACGTCGTGCCGCCGCCGGTAAGAGCGAGGTGACGGCAGTGGTGTGGCGGGAAGAAGAGGAGGAGGAGTGGAGGAGGAGGAGGCAATGGAGGAGAGACGCGCGAGCAAGCGAGCGAGCGAGCGCGCGCGGGAGGAGAGGTACATCAGAAACCTGATTTTAATTAGTCCACAGTTTAATTACTCGGCAGATAAATCGTGCACGTGCACCGCATAAACTAGCCGCTTTCATTTTTCCCGGACGCGGCCGGCGCACGGTCGACGCTTAGTTCTACGCCGCGCGAATGCACGATGGGTCATTGTGTTGCCGGCTTCCCCCGTGAAAAGAGAAACGACCGTGCCGCGCATCGTCGCCGCTTCCGTCATCGAGTCATTCGATTGTTGCGCCGCGCACCTTCCCCCGCTTTATGATTCTCTCTCTCTCTCTCTCTCTTTCTCTCTTGCTCCTCCGCGCGATCCGAGCGCGCGGATTATCGCCGTTCTCCACGGACCGATCGCCGGCCGCGCCGCGCTTCCTTCTGCGCCCGATAAACGTTCGAACGTTTCGGGAAACAGTCCGTTTGTTTTCCCAAACTTTACCGCGGAACTTTTTGGTTTCTTACCTTCTTTACGAGAGAAAAAGTCAATGCGGCAGGTTTTAATCGAACACACGTGAATTTTTCCGAATAGATTTTCATATCCTCGTAACATAAACCGAAGAAATCCGCGGAAGAATTGAGAAAAACGTTTTCTTTTCCGATATTTTGAAACTATACATTTGATCTTTCTTACTAATGCTCGCGAAAAAAATGACAAATGCTCGAAAGTTGTTACTTATTTTCTCAATATCTGTGTCACTCGTTAAGATGTATGCATCTCAAGGCATTGCATTCGCGTTATTTGCAGTGGCAACGAAATCGAATTGTTTCGGAACAGGGAACGCCCGTCGAACGAGTACTTCTTCGATAATCGTTAAATTCGGCACTCATGGATTAAATTGATCCAAGCGAAAAATTAATATCTATCTATCGTTATTGTATTTTGAATTATTGCACATAAACGTAGAATTCTTTTCTTAAAGCATATACAATATTTTACTTCCTTCTATGTAGAATCAATACATTGTCTTTATTCACATCTCAAATCGTCTATTTTAAAAACAATCATTCCGACAAATTGATTACGTAAATTTAGCCTCTGTAAAACTCAAAACTATAATATCTATGTATACACTGTATGTGTGTAGATGAACATACTTATAAATATTTAAGTAAAAGCATATAAGAAAAGTTTCTAAGTCTCACAGATTCAGTGCCAGCCGAACAAAGCAGCAAAAAATAAGTGTGCCAACGAAAGGTTAAAACGGGAACTTTGCGAACGTATGTGGATTCGTTTACTCGTATCCTGGCGTTTGCTCGTTGCGCTAAACGCAACGGCCGGATCGCTGCGTTAGTTTCAGCACGGGGATCGCGTACAATGCTATCTCTCGGGCCGAGAATTATGTCGCTATATTTAGCGTCAAATGGCTAACTGAGTGCGAGCTTTAATATTTAGCTCCTCTCCCTATCTCTCTTTCGCGCGCGGGCGTGTGCATAACACGCATAACAAGGATCGCACGCTAATTAAGCAATAATGATACCGACAGAGATCGGCGCGCGACAATGACCGAACGACGATAGCACACCGTCCAACTGATAAATTTTAGTTAACATCGGGAAAACGTCTCGCGGTATAAAAAGTTCGTCAACGCTCGGCGTTGCGACGTCGAAAACGTACCGCGGCCCATTTTAGCCGCGGCGCGATCACGCGGGTTTCTGATTAGCTCGCGGTGCAAGATTCATTAGATTTTATCGGCTCATAAAATTTACACCTGGCGGATACGTTAGCCTCGGGCTTGAGATTCTTGGAGAAGATCGAGGCGAGGCGAGGCAACGAGACGAAACGACGACGACGACGATGATAGGACGCGGCGCGATTAGATCTGGAGTCCCTCAAATAAGACCCCGGACATTTCCAACTTCTTATTGATTGGTCTAGTTTTGACGAAAAATTACGGAATTGAGGAATGTCAAATAAGGGGACTCCATCTGGAACAAATCGTTATCCTAAGATGAGAGATGAATAATAATAAAATAACGGGGAATATGCATTTTTCAGAAACCGATAAATATTATCGGTATATAATAAGACGAACTTGCACTTGTATTTTTACCACCTGGTACACAACAATTAGTCGTTCTTTCGCCAGATTCTACCGAGCCCGAAACAAAACATTAATGGAGTTTTCTTTGTAGAGATTAACTCGATATATTGACCAGACACCCTCCACAGACAGGAACATTCTGATAACGAGCCAGACGCGATTTTTAATCCGGCCGAAAAACATACGTGTCAAGTGAAACATGTCGAGACTCTCACTCGAGGGAGTCCAGGTAGATCCGTGGCGACGCACACGCGAAGTCGTCGTCGGTGGCCGCATTGCCGCGTTGCCGCCGCGAGCGAGTAGCCGCGGCGGCAACGCACTCGATCGCGCGCGCGGTAACGGTTTCTCTCCCATTCTAATTAACATTCCGCGTATTTATTAGACGCGGATCCGCAATTAATCAGGCGGATTCAATTAGCGAATTACCAATTAGCACGCACGCGTTCGCACGCTCTCGGGGCCGACGCCGCGGACGCGAAGTCGGGGCCGATCGCGAAATAATCGTGTATCAGAAATACGGCGTTAGGATGCGACGCGTAATCGAGGGACTCGCGACCGAGGGGGAATTCCAGTCGTTTCTCAAATTAATTGCAGGGTGCTTGCATGTGCGGCGTCGCGCAGAACGCGTTGCGCTCGTGATATACTTTCGACGTAAGAACGCGCGTACGCATCCGTTTTGAAAAGACGGTCTTCCCACCACATTTATTTCCCACCGAAATTTACTTCACTCGCCTCGACCGATTAAAAGAAATACGACAAGTACTCGTGCTGCTACCTGTTTCTCTCTCGATACCTGTGCCGTTCGTTACGATCGCTTTAATTCACTTCGCTCGCGTTACTCGAAACGATAACGGAATCGCTTCTTCTTTCCTTTCCGACGAAATACGCCCGCGGCGAAATGATCTCCCCCGATAATTCATAAGTGTCGTAAGAGTATTACTCACCTCTCTTCCGCCTCCTTCATCCACCTCTCGAGAACGGGCTTAATTTTCTGCGCGCTTTTCGGCGTAATGTCCAGCTTTTCGAATCTAAAGTCAAGAACAGGGCTTGATCCAGTTTTTCCGCATTCCTTATCTCACAGGTAGATTGATAAAGACGACGTAGGGGAAACGAACACGCCGAGAGAGGACGACAAGGACGTAAAACAGATGAAGTACCCAACCGCGAGTGCTAACGCACTACGCGCAATCGTGCCGGGGTACTTCGTTAATCGCGAAAGAGTACGTTCGAGATCCTCGAATGTTTGCTCTCCGCCCTTACGTCTTTGTCCCACTATATAAAGGAGCACTAAGGCATGCATTGATTCAATAACAGGACATTGACAATGCGTGCATGCTTTAAGGTTTGGTGATGCCGTGTATGATGTTGCCAACGCACTGCGCGAGCGCTCTGTCGCACGGACACGAGCCAAGTATTCACTTTCCGTGACGTTTCCCGACGATCGTGATGATCGCGATCCCAGAGGGATATCTCGAGCCTTGAACGCGGCGCGCGTGTGAAAATCGCGCGCGTTCGGCGGCTTTCCATTCCGTTTCGTTCTTTTTTTTTTTTTTATTCTTAGAGCGCGTTGGCGACATCATGCCCAAGTTTGCCAATGCCCTGGCTCGAAGAGAGTTAATTTTACAAGTGCTCCTTTCGCATCTCTTTTCCGAACGAAATTAGAAATTAGTGAGAGTGCTTGCAGCTATACCCAAATATGCCCGTCGGCTCGAAAACGGGAGGGGATCGATTTGCAAACCGGACGAGCGCAAAGTGACGGGGGCGGGAGAGAGAGGAGGCGTGAAAGACATGTTATCGATATAGAAAATCGGATCGTCCGTCTGACTTTTGTGCGATCTGCGCAACTCGCCGAATTCAACAAGGACCGTTCGTTCCGTGACTCTATCCTTCTTTTTTCTCTCTTTTGTTCTCAAGGGTCCTTCTCTCACGACCGTCGAGAAGTTCGCGCCCGATTTTCCTACGTGTTGGGTATAACTGCGGTTTTTTCTTCGAGGATTTTAGAGTTTTCGATTTTTAGGTGAATTAAGTAGCATGAGGGGTGTGAACGTACGTAGCTTGCTGCTGAGAGGCAATCTGCGAGGCAGCGTACATCTGGGTAGCCAGGGCACTGGGGAACAATCACCAATGCTTATGTTAGTCGATACGATAAGAACTCTAAGAGGTATAAACATTTTCTCGGCTTGCTACCACGGTGGTTCCCACACGCGTCTCGGAGACACCCTCGATCGGAGGTAACGGATCGCGTGAATGGCGCGACACTCTTTGGAAAGCCCGCGTCGATGAAGCGTTTAGCCTCGCTTATTTCTCGTGAATGTTATAATTAACGAGCGCGGACAGGGATTTCTGCGAATGCGCGAACGAAGTGGCTCCCCTATTCGCGGCTTTTAATATGTTTGAAACCGAGGTTAGATTAAATATACGCGACGTATAAATCAGGAACCATCGTGGTGGATTACGGTATAAGTATAAATTCATTATACGGTGTTTCTCAAGATAGAATGATAAAACGCGGCTGTGGAAGCTACGTATCGGAACTTTTCGAGACCTTGGACGAATTGAAGCGTCGACACGTGGAAATGTAATTTTGCTGATCACTCGATCATCACACGAGGAGAAAAGAGCAAAAAAAGAAGAAAAAATAGGAGCTAGTAAAACTGCTTCGAAATGTTCTCGCGAGTCTTATTTGATCGTACGACGAGTCGTTGCCGAATCTCGTCCCTGACAGAAAGTGCTCCGAAGTGAAGGCATCGAGTACGAGTAACCGTCGTTTTTGCTGCTCCGAGACAAAATTCCAACCCTTTCTACGCCATTTCCAGTGACCTGGCACACTGTCGTTTTACACTCTACCATATTATTGAATTCTCATTAGCGACGTCCGTTTGCGCGAGGAGAACGGGACGGGCGCAGCGATGAACTAACCTGCATATGGCACTTTGGCTGTACGCCGGTCCCTCGGTGACGCTCAGGGCCTGCCCGACTTGGGTCTGTGTCAGACCCAGAGACAGTCTGCGTAGTTTAAACACCTTGGCGAACTCCTTGATCTCGTCCAAATTGATCCCATCGACCACGTTGTTAGTGGCCTCGTTAATCGTTGGCTGGTCTGTAAAAGAAACTCACGCTATGTGCCGTGGCAGGTGTTTGTTCGCGCTTACAACAAATGAAAAAATAACAATGAGTGAATGGGACAAAGAGTGAATCGTTTTTGGAAGAGAGTTTAAATAAACGTGATGCTTTCGAGGTCAATACGAGCCCGCCGGCGCAGATGTTCCCGCGTAATATTCTTCGGAATTATTCCAAGTCGGGACTTCAACCCTTACTCGGATCCTCTTCGGTCGAGATACGCGGGCGATAATTCACAGAAGTATTCGGGGCGATATCACGCGAGAACATCCGTGTTTGCCAGCTTCAGTCGACCTCAAAGCCTATATTTATTTAAAAAATGAAAAGAGAGAACTACTTTCTCAAGCAGTTTCTACCTATCTCTGTACGGAGTAAATGAAGCCGATGTCAAACGCTAATATTAGCATATCAGCCGTAGAGTCCTAGATATCAGTAGAGAAGCGTTATGGAAAAATCGGCTCGATTGGATATATGAATCACACGAGCTAGACGCCATTTTGTCCAGCGGTCGCGACTAAGGATGACTTTCACCAAACCGATTAAGCTAATCGACGATTTAAGGTTTCTATCAGTCTCGAGTATAACCTAATCTATCTCGCTGAAGCGAGAATAGAAATGATTCACTTTTCAGTTATTATCGTACGGCGAGCTATAGAACTGGAAATTGCTGTTGGCGATTCTTATGATTCATAGATTAGCCTAATAGAAATGTATGCAGATTTTTTCTTAGACATCCCATCCAGTTACCATCTAGTATTAATATATTCTCATTAATTGCAATACTGCGTAGGAAATAGACCAGGAACTCGACAGAGATTGATTCAGAATTACTTCCAGAGCAAAACTGTTTATTTTGCAGTAGGCTTGCTCATTAATCAATTGAATAGTTCTCTGCCCACTTATTCTTCTGTTTTCAGTAAGTCAATTCGGATCTCGCGCGTCTTTTTCTGCGCAGCATCCAGCAGGAAAAGCGTTACATTTCAGTTGGAATCCCAAGTAATTTCGCTCCCCAGTTACCAGACCGAAATTAATATAACCGTCCGGTTAATATAACCGCTGAAAAAGTGCATGAAATATCTATCAGGGTGTCACTTGGACTAATTATAAAGGTTGACCTCTCGACGAAATCAACCCCTCTCCTTTATTCATCATTTGCCGCGAGTATTACGCGGCTACTGGAAGCTCGCTTGCTCCAAATAAGACGGCGACTTGCGCTATATCGGGTCCAATCCGAGCCTCTCGATTTACAACCGGGACTCTACTCGACCGCTGTTGGAATTACTCTCGCGCGGCGAATTCCGTCCGGTTGGACACGGATTACGCGAATCGCGAACCGGCTGCGGAAACGACACCGCTCGCGGAACGAGAGGTGAAGTATTCGCGGTTCGCAGGGGTTAATGCGATAAGCACCGCCGTCGTCGCATCCCCGCGCGATCAGTTTTATAGAGACTCTAATGGCGCATTTTGAGGAAGGTAGGGATCCACCCGGCGGTCGTTCGCGCGCACGTTTCAATCGATTCGTCGGAACGCACCGGCGAGAAGGCCGTCTAATGACATCAGGCGGCTTCGTTAAAAGCAGCTCGAGCTGCGCGCCGATTTCTCTCGTAAATCTGTCACCCCGCGAATGTATATACGCACGCAATAGCGGTGCCCACTCCGCGTAATCTCGACCAGTCCGCCTGGTTTCTGCGCCGCGCAATAAACCGCAACAAATCCTTCTTTCGCGCGACGGTGCGCGTTCCTCGTGATCGTTAATTTTCAATCGCGACAATTCTTCGGGCAAGAAGCCGCGAGAACAGACGTTTCAAGCGACTCTGAGTCGAGTGAGCAGACGCGCGAACGTCGCGGAGCGAATTTCCAAGGACGCTCGACCGTGATTGCGGTTTTAGCGGCTGCCGGAGTTTCCCGCGGACGAAGCGACGGCACTTCTTCGCTCGCCCTGCCGCAAAAATCCCCCGTTTCGCCGAATTACCCACCCTGTTCTCGCGCGCAAATGACGCCGAAGCTAGAGTATAACAAGCCTGTAATGTATAATATAATATATAAATGTTTATAATACAGTGACCGTACGTCTGATTTCCGATTGGCCCGAAGTGCGTTCAGAGGGAAATGAGTTCGTGCGTTGTCGCACGCTGTGATGAACGATTATCTTATTGCGACATTCATCACGACTGCGAACATCCGGTTTCCAGCCAAACATGGCGGCCCGTACTCTTATTACAGGGTACTCTGTCCGACTTTTTCCGCTGTAATCGTGACTTCGCTTCCCGATCTCACGCGGGATCACCGAGATTCTATCGCGGACGGGTTAACAAAGGCAGATATTTATGAAGTAATGGCCACCACAGCTGGCTCGGACAATTGAGAATCGTTAGGCGTTCACGCGCCGGAATGATTATTCCATCGCGACGGCATGACGAAGTGCCGGTCCGTCGCGCGATGATTGTGAATTATTGAAATTATTGTCGGCCAACACGCGGAGGTTACGCGCGCCGCTGGAATCTTTATGGCTTCCTAGAAGGCGGCGAGGAACGAACTAATGCCCCGTAATGAGCCCGGTGTTGTGCGATATCCTATTAGATCCTATCAAGCGCGGACGGCGCGCGATCGATGCATGAGCGCGCTCGTTCGAAATGTTATTATATCTGCCGTCGCGCGCGCGCGGCTCTCGGCCGCGCGTTAAACATTAAATCGTTTCCTCCGCCGGGACGGACAATGGCGACAATTCGCTGCCGCGTCGGAGAGAGAGAGAGAGAGAGAGCGATGGAAAGCCCGCTCCGGATCGCGGTGGAACGGCGCGTATTTTTTTTAATCAACCGCACACGTCCGCGAATTCGCGATCCGAGCGTCGATGTCCCGCGTCTTGTCGAAAATATCCGCAGAATGCCGCGACGGCCGGGCAGCGTGGAAATGAGGGACGCGCTTTTGCATGTGGTAATTGCTTCTTTAAAAGTGATCATTATGCATGCAATCACTTGTCGTGCTGCGTATAGGCAAGATAGATGATTGCGTTATAGGAAGACGGTGTCTCTCCCGCGAGAGAGAATTGTAATTAAAAGCTGTCAGGGAGAGTAAAACGCGGCTACCTTCGAGGAGGCTCGATTATCATTTTCGCACGGGCAAAGCAGCCCCGCGAGAACGAGAGGGGACTCGGCGGGTGATTCCGGACCCCTCCCTCTCAATCCGTCTCTCATTGACTAATATCTCGGGATGGAGGGCGGACGAAATAAATCAAGCGTATGTATGTCTTACTCGGTGAATCGTTCAAGAGATCATCCTCGTCCTCCTTCGGACTGTGCATACTGCTAGGGGACGCCTTTACTCCGGCGCCGCCAGGTCCGTGCGTCGTCGTGATAGTAATCTCGCCGTTACTGGCGGCCAATCTGTTCAAAGCGGACGCCGCGGACACCACGGATTCGTTCAAAGGCGACGACTGCTCCGGCCTCTCTCTGTGATGTTTTTCCGCCGGCTGTGAACGATACGGCAAGCAAGGAGAGGCGGACGGATTAGTAGCTCACCGGGAAACGACAATGCCTCCTCCGCCACGCCAATTATGCACTTAATAATGAGACGGAATCGCGGACCGGGACACTTTAGAGTCTAATTAGCGGAAGGAATGCCGCCGGCGCGGAATACTTTCTTAACGAGATCGCCCGCTATCGGCGAATTATTCAGGTTACCCCGCCGATCGCGGCCCCTCCGCCGCGAGATCCGATGCGGAAATCGGCCTGGGCGTTGTTGAAAAAAGTACCGCCGACGCCAAGGACAACGGAGGTGCGTGCCCGACGGCATCCGATTCCGCCGACTGGCTTGTGATCGCGCGCGGTGGTCGCGAAGGCGCGCGGATACACGTCGGGACGATGTGCGAAATGCGTGCGGTCTCCGTAACAATACAACAATATGCGTGTTATCACGGAAATACGAAGTTTATTGTAAAAGAAAAATATTGCTTTTTCAACAAATAGCGATATGTCTATCAATTTTGTGATAACACGGCACGAAAAATTCCGCTATTGATGTGTTTTCGTGTTTGCGAAAACACGCAAAGTTACTTAATTACCCGGGCGCCGAATAATGCGCGGAAGAAAAACAACACGTTGGAAAAAAGAAGAGATATACGTATGTATTCGATTCGTTTCTTTGTCGTCGGTGAAAAAAATAATTTGTTACAGCTTCGGAAACGCGTTACACCCGCGCGCCCGCCCGTTGTGCCGTGTTGTGCACGCACGTTCACACGTGGAGAATATTTCGACGACGTCGGGATCGGTCATACGTACTGTGTAATGATTCATATGCGAGGTGTGTCGGTGGCTGTGCTGCTGAGGCGATGTCGTTAGAAGCGGTTGCTGGGAAGCCTGTACGGCCTGCACGGCTTGCGCCGCTTGTGCCTGCGCCGCTTGGGCAGCCTGAAGTAGTTGCTGAGGCTGCATCGCGCTGAGAAGTTGTTGGCTCGCCGAGCTATTGCTCAGAAGATGCGGCAAAGCGGCAGGGTTCAGTCCTAATCCCGATGCCAGGCTGGGGCTCGTGGGAACTGATACAGGGACAAGTAAATGCAAATAGTACGACATCCGATGCTGTGTCTAATCACGAGCTTTTGGTAAACAGAACAGTCGTAAGTGTCTTAACGCATCCGCTTGCTTTTCGAAAAGAAAAGTGTCGTCGTGAACGTTTGGAAATTCCCGAAAAAAAAAAACAAGCGCTTCGAGCAGCCCGTTTCGCGAAGAGAATAATCGTTATCGCGCGCCGACTTCGAAGATCGAAGGTAACTGTTCCGCTAAAAAAAATCACGACGCAATCGATCTGAATCTTTAATGTAGTCGGTCCGTCAAACTATTTTCTTAATCCTTTTAAATTTTAGCCGCGTGTTGATGAAAGTTCTTATCTACACATCTTTAAAGTTAGAAAACGATTGACCATTTGGAGATAGAATAAAAAAGAAATGCAAAATATTTCAATAATCGAAACAACATAATATGTAATTATTACTGCTGTTATACATTGAAATGTTATGCGAATATATATTCTACATATCTACAGTAACCGTTATCGCGTATTATGAGAAAGTACAAAGAGAGTACGTGTTGCGTAGACGTATCACGCGAAAGAACAGCACGCGTATGAAGGGTTTTCCATCTATTTTTCGATTTGTCCGTCTTTCGGAATATGACTTTGATGTACATGGTTAAATTCGGCATAAAATACCCCTTTCATTTAGTCGAAAAAAATTTTTTGATTACAAAAAAAAGAAGCGAGTGGCGGAGTATGTTAACAATTATAACATTTTTTTAAATTTGTAAACATTATTTTAAAGTACTCTTGAAACTATCAGATTTTTATTCGAAAAATTTTTCTATCTTTCATAGCTTCGACGATATTCGCTCTGAAAACCCAATTTTTTTGCCAAGGGGTGTTCCACCCCCCTAAAAGTGTGTATGAGCATGTATAAAAATTGCGTATTTTAGCTCTGTTTTAGCTTGGATTTCAAGATTACAAATTCATCAAAATCGAGAGAGAACGCTTCCGTGTTTTCTTAATATTTCTGGGACAAAACCTAATCTATTCTTTTTACGTTTGGGAGAAAACAAAAGATATTAAAGGTACACCCGCGGTTTTCCGCGACTATTTACTTTTTGATGTATTCGGATGCTACTCTTTCATTTTGTTCAAAACAACATTACAAGGATAGACCCCGAAATACCATTAAATCTTCCGAATTTGACATCGAAAACGCAAAAAACATGCATTACTCAATGTTATATTCGGAACCGTAAATCTACGTAAATGACAATACAATTCTCTAAAACGTTTCTACATACCTTCATCGAAACAATTTGTCAAAAAGTAGTTTGCGGAGCTACTCGGAGGCTCTAAAAACTATTATCGAAAAATCGTATTTCAGAAAGAGCCGGGAATCGATAAGTATATATAAGTATATCGTGAACGACGTCCAAGTTGTAACTAAGCGGACTGCTCATGTTATCGCGATTTATTATTTCTCCCGAATCCATTAGAGTATCTCGGACGATCATCTATTAGGTTGGTGCATATGAAATGTCGGATTCTTAAGTGATTGTATAAAACTGTATATCTTTCTTCAAAAGCTGTTTATTCAATCAAAGTATGCTCCATTCGCTTCAATACACTTCTCCCAACGAGATTTTAAAGCGTAGATGCCTGTCTTAAAAAAATTTTGGTCTTTAGAATTAATAAACTCTGATATCGAGTTTTTTAGACTGTCTTCATTTTCATGGTGTTTGCCTCTTAAAAACAGCTCTAAATGCTTGAAAAAATGAAAATCGGTCGGCGAGAGATCCGGTGAATATGGTGGATGCTGCAAAACTTCATATTCCAGTTCGTTCAGTTTCGCAATTGTTTTGTGCGATGTGTGCGGCCGAGCGTTGTCATGGAGCAGTAGCGGGCCATGCCGATTCACAAGCGATGGGAGTACAATTTGGTGTCTCAATATCGTTGTATGGTCAACTTTCATCCTGATAGCAAGTTCCCTCGTGGATACGGCTGGATCCGCTTCCACTAGAGCCTTCAGGTCATCATTATTCACAGACGTTTTGGGTCTTCCGCGCGGCTCATTTTGCAGTGAAAAATCGCCAGTCCGAAATTTTTCGAACCAACGCTGCACTTTCCGATTGTTAACCGTATTCTCCCCAAACGCTTGGTTTATGTTGCGTGCAGCTTTTGCAGCACTATTACCAAGTTTGTACTCATATAAGAAAATGACGCGAATGTCGGCAGAATTCATATCGGTAATAAACTCAAAAGAAATAAAAAAGGGAAGACCTTCGAGAAAACCTATTTTGTTGAAATGAGTCTCTGGCAATGGACAATACGAGTATGAATGAGGTTATGCCAAATACAAAAGTATAACGAAAACAGGGAGGAAAACGTCCGCATGTAAAGAGAATGCGACATTTCATACGCACCAACCTAATATATAAAGTGGAAATACGATTTTGAGAAAATCGACATTTGACCAACTTTTAGAGTCCAATATTACCCCCGGTGTAGCGACGGATGGTGCGATGACTTTCCGGCGACGAATTCTCGTGTGTTCAACATGAGATACTACATTTAGCGACTGTTTTTCGTGGTTATCGCGAGCTCTACGTGGGGAAGGTTGTAAAAGGTCGCACTTGCCGGCCGTTGGCGCAAAGAAAGACGCTAATTGCGACGCATCTCAGTGCTCTCTTATAATTATACGAGTGAACTGGTTAACGCTGAACTTACCGTTGCTCGTGGGCGTGTTGAGCATGTTTTGCGGTTGAGCTAGGGATTGAAGGTTGGCCAGCGTCGTGGAAACTACCTGTCCATTACTCAGCGCCAAGTTCACCATCTGATTGTTCGTGACGTGACTGACCGGTATGGTCAGGATGGTCTGGGTAGCGATGCCTGGGGAAACGAGAAGCATTTTTCAAGACGACACGTCTCGCTCTCTCCGAGGCGGATCGCGCACCACCGGATTCGTACGCAGGGAGAGGGGGTGGGAGGGCCGCAGGGATAAGAGGGAATTAATCGGCGGATTCTCAAGCGCTGCATAATTGTATCTCGAATCAATAGTACTTCGTTTCCATTATGAATATAGTCCACGCGTCGTTGATCCAGGATGGGTAGTAAAGTTATCAGAGTCTCATAGAGGGATTATTAGGCAACCCATAGGGCAGGTAACCTCGCAGGCTAGCGTAGTTGGCAAACTATTATCGTCATCTTAATAGTGGGTACAGGTACTGGCACTGGACTACGCTGCGAGAAGGACGCCTAATCATACTTAGAATAGTTTCGGGATTACCTCCAGCTCCGCTAATCTGATTACCCTGTACACGCGCTTAATATGATTACTGATCATGAGTACGTACCCGTGTTGCCACCTACAGCTAAGCTAAGCAAATCCCGTATTCCGAACAGCCATAAAAGTTTCACGTTCTGAGGTAAGGTCAACCGACAATCCGATTAATGCTCACAGTTCAAACGTTACCGGACGATAACACCTTGTCGTGGCTTTCGCTTTTCGCTCGCGACCTGACGCTCTCGCGTCACTTAAATCACCGAATTTCACGGCTCGAGATATTATATCACCGTTCGGCCCTCACGTTTACTCGACATCGCCCGTTAGAGGTAAACGAGAACTTTCCCACCTTCCCTCTCTTTCCGACTTTTATGAATATCGGAAATTTATTTATATCGAATGTAAAGAAAGCTCCGAGGGATGTTATTTCTGTTCCTGACGATTCGGACGTGCATGACCTCCCACGGCGTGTATTTCCATCTCCGCCGTTTCTTCGGTCCTTAATCGCGTTCGCGCAACGGATGAAATCTCGGGGGCCGGCTGGTATATCGTTTTGAAATAAAGCTACGGGACATTCCGGCGAACAATGATTTCTATGAACGACAACCTATTGACCGCGCTCTCTCGAGCGCTCCTCGAGCTCATCCTCGCCGACACTCGATGTCTATCAGAGACCAATCGAGCGTTAGTCAGTTACCATCGATTGAGTCGAAAAGCAGTGCAAACATTATTTGCCGCCACGTAACTCGTCATCCTACCGCGGCCGGTCCATATCCACGAACTTCAATCCACTTAGGCGGAATCCCGAAGTTCTCCTTCTGCTTGCCGCCCTCTACCTCCGCCTACACCATGCTCTATCTCCTTCTCTTTCCCTCTCCTCCTCCTCCCCCTCTCCCCGTTCTCTCTCTCTCTCATTGCCAGAATAGGAACCCAACTTGGTAGAAACGAAGTTAGCGCGGACCGCAATCGATATAATAGCGGCCGAATCCGCGATGTCCAGCCAGTGAGTGCTAGGGTTAGGGAGTATGGGAGGGGGAGGCGGACCCGAGAAAGGAGGCAGGGAGATGGGGTGAGATTCGTGGGCTTGGAAAGGGGTAGTGAGACGTTAATTATACATTGAAATTAGTTGCAGAGTTTGCCCTGTGCTCGCCGAGGCAGTCTAGGACCACTAAGTATGGACGACGGGCCGGCCTTAGTCCAAGCTGGTCAGAGATAGTCGATATTATATTATATATCGGCACATCTTGATTGCACAACATTATGCGCGGGCACAGCGTGTGCGGGACTGGTGCGCTCGGTGGTGCGAGCGCACAATCATTTCGCCCATGGAAATCCGCCGATGGAACATCGCGGTGGGAAGTTGTAATTTCGCAGATTGTCCATCGGCCCCCGGCCAAAATGGACGGGCATTTCGACAAGTCCGCGTTAAGATGGTAATATATGTGGCGGGGAGAATCATACTATATGTACGCCGCGTTCGGGGGAGCGCGGAAATTGTACGTCGCGCTCGGCGACTTACCTTGTGAAGTGGGGATAAGAAGCTGAGCCCCTTGAATGCCCTGAACCAATTGACCGGACGTTAGGATGAATTGAGGCATCGCGACCGGTTGCGGTTGAGATAATAGCTGAGGTAACGTCGCCATTGGGGCCGAACTAGGTGGCAGAAGATGGGGGGCCGCCGTCGTACTCGAGGCTGTTGGTACCGTTCCGCCTGCGAGTAAGAAATAGCGACGATTTCGCCGCGTTCGATCACTCTTCCCGAGATCGCGACCGCCTCTCGCGTCGATTCACGATTCTGATTTAAGCCGGTTTATCGATATCGTTGTTATATTTTTGTTCTCGCATTATCGTACTTATCATTACTCTATCGAAATTCTTTCATTGTACGGTTCGTAATCGCCGAGATTTTTACCTGACGAGCTGACAGTTAGGTTCAAGGGAGTGTTGATCAACTGATTGTTAGTCAATCCCGCTGTCATTCCTTGAAGGCCGGCGGCCAGCGACGCGACTTGTGGAAGATTTTGAAGATTCGCCAGGTTCTGCAAATTCTGTAGCGTCACCATGCCGGCCACTGCGCATAAAGCAGCTACGGTAAAGAACAATGTCTCTCGTTCAAGCAACGGCCGTGTGTAATTTCGAGCTATTTCTCGCGCACTCACTCGTTCCGTTTAGATGAGCCTGCGCTACCGCCGCGCGCTTCGCTTGATGAAGATTTTCGGGTGACGGGCTCCGTCGTCTCTTCCGTGAATTCTTCATATCGTCCATCATCATTTGGTGCTCGTGGAGTGCACCTGTCGCCGGCTCCGGACTTCCGGCGCTACTCCTATCGCTATCCTGCAACAAATATACAAGTCCTGGTCAGGAATCGGATCGAGCCACCCGCAGTTCACACAATATGTACGAAAATTGTTTAAAAAAAGAAGGAACTCGATCAATGCGCGGGAAAAAAGTTTGTATTAACTAGAACAATCAGACGCATTTTGGTTGAAGGGAACAGAATTTCTGGCTGTAAGAAGCACACTTGGATGATAAGAGCCAGAAATTCTGTTTCCTTCGATTAGAACGAAGAATTTGGTCGTCGCCTTTCTGGTTGATGCAACCAGATTTGTTTTTTTCCCTGTAGAACTCATGACGTTGCGTCGATTAATCGAAGACGTATTATCGCGCTGGCAACCGAATTACGTCGCAAATTATTTTCGAGAGACCGCATACGTGACTGGCTCTTCGAAATAGAACGGCGCGGGTTATTCTTTCTCTCGCAAAAATCAATCGGACGGCCATGCAAAGGTTTTAGCGCAAGCTAGCAATCATTCCTGCCGAAACGCTCAATTATACGCGCGTGGTTCGTTAACGTACCACGCTTTTTATTGCGGCGGCACGTTTAACGCCGAAAATTGATTAATAATCATTCACGGTCTAGCTGCTACACGTTAAAATATTTCATTTCAGGGCGATGGAAGCGAGAAACAAACAATGACGGGATACGTGGAGTAGAAGAAGTAAATTAGTAACGATAATTATTGCAATATATTACAAGGAACGATGAAACGCGTATCGCTTGCGCATCGATGTACATTGCATGCCGCGTCTGTTGCATTTTAGATAGGGGAGACCGAGGCTAGTTAGCCAAAGGGGTAAGGTGGCTAATTGATTATTTCTCTTGTTTTCTAACGCGTTATAGAATCGAGCAAGCAGAGATTTCAAACACGTCAAAGATGGTTATGAAATCCTTACTTGCTCGATTCTGTAACCTGTTAGAAAACAACAGAAATAATCAATCAGCCAACTTACCCCTTCAGCTAACTAGCCCCGTTCTCCCTTACCGCGTATAATCGGCAATTTTCGCCTCTCACTCTAGAGACAAATTTCTAAGCAATTTCAAGCGCATATATCGATCACAGAGATATACCCGTGAAAAAATATATTCGATCGTTGGAATATATTTATTACACGTCCGAAATTAGCGTGAAATTTCTTCCGGGGCTAAAGAGCACACAGTCGAAACGTGCCGTGCAGCGGGACACAACGCGATGAGTCTCGCAAAGTGCCGATAATCATCGTCGAATATTAATTTCAGTATCACTCACGCGCGACGATGAAAATCGAGCCCGTCGGTATTATTCTGATATCGGTTCTTGCCCATAAACATAATCCAGCAACGCGTGCGGGCAAAGTGATTTAGTTATTCACGCTCAATAACACATTTTTGGAATTAACTCGGTCGTCCGGCCGGCCGCTCGATTTAATCAATACTAATTCGATAGGGCAGCGCGACATACGGCGCGCCGTGACTTCCCAAAAATGTCGAGAGAAGCGACGCTACCCCAGGTAGGATTACTGTTGCGAGAAGAGAGATAGGGGGTGAAGGCGAGAATCGCTGGGCGAAAAAATGTATTAATCGCGCGTTCCCTCGTTGCTCCGCTTTCGTGCCGGCAGATATATAATTCATGCATATTTACGGAATACCGGCGGAATAATTAACGAACGCCGGCACATTAAGGCGCGCCGTACGTGTGCGCGTATAGCCGAGGTTCTTAGAAGACAATCTAAATTATAATAAATCGATGGAGTATATATGCCGTAATGCTTTACTACCACGAGTGTATATCGACGATGGTGGTGGCTGTGCTGCGGAGAGTAATGTTACCGGTGCGGCCTCTTTGCATAATGGTATGGAAATATGCCGGAACGTGTATCGCCATAGTTGGATACAGATTAAGCGTTTTAGAGCTTCGACACTCGAATAATTCAGGAAAAAGAGTTTCGGCGGGCGACTGGACCCATGAATAAATCCTTTGCAGAAGCTTCTTTGGTGGCTATCGCCTTAGCAAATGCACGACCCTTTCGACTGGGTGTTGTTATTGTTGTTTGTGCAAATGCAAAAAAAAATCTGAGCTTAACGTGGAGCAGTAGAAGATATTTTTGGATTACTTAGAAAAAAAAAAGGAAAACGGCAAAATTTTCAAGATCGGCTCTTGAGGATTATTTTTAGTTGGAAATTTTATCGGCAAAAGTAAACCTTCGAATGCACCCGAGCGTTGAAGGCTGTAATAATCATCTACTCTTCGTCCTCTTCTTATCGTTAGGGGAAACGCCGGGAGCAGATCAAACAACTCGCCGGTATTCACAAATATATTAATTATATCGGCAGACAATTTCATCATATTCAGCTCAACTCTTTTTTTTTTTTGTAAAAAGAGAATATCCTCTGGGTGCGGCTTGTAATCCCGGCTTGAATTTTCGTCAAAGTCGCACAATGGACCGCGCACGCCGCTGGTCGAGGCATTTCATTGCATAAAAAATAGATAAAGCCCGGTCGATAGGTAACGAACGAAAATAGGAGGCGTAGGGGGTACGGCAGTTCAATTTTTTTTCCACGCAAATTCGTAAACGGCTATACCGCCAGTATGGCCACCCTATATTAAATGGACGAGGCGAGGGGGATTAGTTGAATGCACAGGCTCGACCATTTTGCTTGTAAAAGTGCGTGCGATATACAGCCAGCCGTAGAAACATATGTTTACGAGCTTTCGATATTTCGCATAAATTAATCAGCGCCGCCACATCGCCGCGCATCGAACGGCGGCTCTTACGCGGGATCATCGATTTTTCAGGAATGCAGTGCCCGGAGTGTTCTTGTCAATTTTTCAGAGGAAATAAGTCTCTATTTTTCTGTCATTTTCGCGCGAGCACAATGCGAGATTTGTTATTATCGCTTCTGAGTTGATTTCTCGATAACACCTTCGATACTTCTCCATTATTTTACGGGATGAAAAAATACAATTATCACTATTTTGATTGCAAACACTACTTTGATTAAAAACACAAAAGTAACTATTTTTTAGACTTTCCCCGAGTCGAAATTTTAGTTCTACATTAAATCTAGTTATTTACACATTAGGTCCTCAGTTAGAGAAAACGATAATGAATTTCCATTTGTAATATCAAAGAAGCACGATAGAAGATCTTTGAAGATTTAACGTAGAATTAACTAGACTTAATGTAGAACTAAAATTTCGACTCGGGTCGAAGCTGCCCCACTTAGAAAAAAAGAAACGTTGCCGCCGTAAGATAGCCATTTCTGTACCGTGTAATTTCTCATTTAACAAATGAGCTCATTGAAACTGTTTGAAAATGACTCAATTAAGACTGTATTGAGCTAAGCACTTTTGTTTCATGTAATTTCCGTACGATAAATTTGTCCCTCCCGCCCTCATACCTCGAGGATATTCCACATGGCGATAGTTATCGCCCCGCCCAGTATAATTGTGCAATTCCTCATCGTATCAGGAAAGTCACACTTTCTAATTGCCACCTGATTCCTCGCTCGCATCCGAAGACCATTCGACGCTGTGTGCATCCGAGGCCGGGCGAAAAGAGCGGCCGTGTCACCCGCGCCGTTGGTCTCGCCATTGTCAGCGCTTTAAATTCCCCGGGAGAAATCGGTCGCACGGTCGATGAAAAATCGTTAGCCCTCGTCCATAGGCCATCTCGCTAATGCGAAAAACTGGGCTGGATCCTCACCCTCCCTCCCCCCCCTACCGGCCCTCTCAATCCCCGCGGTGGATCCGGGGGATGCAGGCGGTGAATACGAACGGCCAGTGGGAGGCGCGAAAAAAATACACGGTCGGCGGAAGGCGGGCGAGGAGGGCGTTCGGTTGGTCGTTGGAAATGCAACAATAAACATTACTTATCGGCGCGGGGGTCTCTCTAACAATGCGTATACGAGGAGAAGCGGCGCGGCCGGTAGCAAAGCGCAAGTTTTTTGCAATAAAGTCATTTCGAGCCGTTTGAGTTATGGGTAATTCCTGTGGAACGCCCGAGCCTGTGCGCTCTAGCTGGCTGGTACGGGTCCGGTCCATTGATTAGTATTAATGACTTAGCTGCACTCATTTCGCCCGAATAAAAGTAATTGGATTTGGCTTCGACCCCGGCGCGGACTACGCTCTGTAGTTTGGCGTCGGCGGCGTCGGGCAGCGTCGGCGGCGGCGGCGGTGGCGGCAGCGGCGGCGGCGGCGGCTGGCGGAACGAAACCCGTGGGCGCGTGTAAAAATACATTAATATCTGTTTGCGCTTAATAAACGATAGCCGCGCTGACTTCAGACTAATGGCCGTATTCCGGAATCGGTAATACGCATTTTTATGTTTCTTTCTGAAACGCCACGCCGCGCCGTGTGCCGCGCCGCGCCATTTCATCCCATCTTCGGTCGCGGCTGTTCCTGCCCCGGCGATCGATTTGTCGAGCGGAGCACCGTTCGCCGTTATGAAAATTGAGCGATTTTTTGGCAGAAAACGCCGCCAGGCTCGCGACGCTTCGCCCGCGTTAATCACACCGTGAGCTAAATCATCGCGAGATGAACAGCTCGGATTATCATGGACGTGGAGAATTTACGGTGAATTGCAAATCGATACTCGGCGACACCGGGACTTGTCTCTCTCGCGTGATCACTGAGAAACACCTTGTTGAATCTCGTGTCTGCCGCGTATTAAAAGTAATCGCGGGAACGTTCTCGGTTTGACTGTGTGCGGCGGCGGTTACGGGGATCGATCGGAGTCGATAATTACCGTGAAGTTACTCGATACGTCACCTTGCCAGCCGGGAGACGATGAATTTCCTTTACGATTAAGGATTCTAACGAATCCCGTTCTCTGCGGGGGGTTGCAATTATCACGTGGTCATTGCGAAAGGGTGTTATCGGGAGTGGAAACCCAGTGAGAGACAGTGGCAGAGGGTCTGTTCTCTTCGCAGAAAGGACAGAACAGAGACAGCTAGGAAGGTAGACAGGAATGGTTTGGCAGGGAGCAAGAGAGAAATCGTGCAAATAGTCATGTGA